ATAGTCATCAACCTAACCTCACTCAACTATGAATCACAGTCATAGTCATGGTGATAAAAAAGAGATTTGTTTGAAAGGAAAATGTTTTTTCTAATGACTACATCCAGCCTTAAGCGCAAATATCTGTCTATTATGTAGAATAAAAACATAATCGAATGAATGTTATGTATCTTATCTTATCATTTATTTTTTGATATCAACCGTAAAAAAAGAATCCTCTGAATGTAATGTGTAGAGTACAGTGATTATATTAGCGACTATATTAAGATTTCCTTTTCATTTTTTTGATTCCGGAAAATATTTACATTGGAAGAAAATAAATAAAAACACTGTCACTAATGATTTGCATTGTCATCACTTTTTTCTCATTCACATTAACACTGATAATTTCTTCATTTTTTTCATGTTGATCCCTTTCAACGGCAATCATTATGGATAATTTTCTTGACATTTTCACTATTGAAAATAAAAAAAAAAATAAATAAAATCACCATATTAGCATTTCTGGATGATGATTGTGGACAAAAGTGCGAAACACAATGTGAAGAAAAGCGTATTATAATCAGTATTATATTAACAACAGGAACAAAAAAATAATGTTAATAATTCTGAATAATTCCAGTTCACTCAATCATGATTCTGTTTCATCATCACTTATCATCATCATCATCATCATAATCTTCAATCCCTTTTATTCAGAATAATATTTGGTTCAAGAATTTTTTCTTCTTCTTTCGTTTGAATGAATATGTGAAAACAACAATAACAATAATATCATTATGTCTGTCGTTGTTGGCCAACAACATCTTGGATGAATGTAAAAATTCTAAATAAATAAATAGATGTGACTTTTGTCAAAAAAATGAGAAAAAGTTCTTAATTCTCCTTGCCATTTCGTTATACAGCCGAAAAAATTTTAGTTGGATTTTATTTGTCAACATTGAAAAATTTTTCAATTTAAATTTAAATGATGTTTCGTTTTATTATGTTTGTTTTAAAAACTTCTTAAAAAACTTATCATCATTGGTCAAAACATTGGTTGAAAAGTTTTTTCTGTTTAATTATTCAACCAAAATTCAAACTATAAGAAGAATTAAATGAGGAAAAAAGTGACAAAGAAACAAAAATTTAGATTGAAAAAGAATTTCATTAATTTTTTTCGTTGAATGCATTCACCTGACAAATTTATTTTTGCTGATTTCATTTGAATTTCGTTTTTTTGGTTTTATAATTTTAGAACAACGAGGGAACTTTCTGTTTTCTGATTCAAAACAAATTCTTCAAACAGGAATCATCAAAAATTCTTTGAAAAAAACCGAAAACGAAAAAACAATGTCGACATCATTTGCCTTGGAAAATTGTAGCTCAAGCTATAAAGGTTGGTTTGATTTTGTTTCGGGAAAAAAATTTCAAATTCTTTTCATTCATTTTTTGACTATAAAAAATAGGAATACTTTTGCTCAATCTAACCAATCAATTTAAAGATAAACATTTAGAATCAGCATATCAACGTTATTCACAACGACAACGACAAAAATCATTAGTCATTGTGAATGTGATTGATATTATCATTAAAATTATATTTTTGTTAGCTTATTTTTTAGCTTCAAATGATTTTATCAATAATAAAAATTTCAATAATGAAAATGACAATATTAATAATCATTATAATAATAATAATGGTGATGGATTAGTAATGACAAATAATGTTATCGTTAATAATGATAATAATTTTCAAATTTATCAATCAATCAATTTATCAAAAATTATTTCATCACCATTAACGCAACAACAACAAAATCCTCATCATAACCATCATCATCGAAATCATTATCATCATCAACGACATCGAAATATTCGTTCAAATGCAAATACTGATGAGAGCCATGATCGACATCCATTATCATTTTCATTTGGATTGAATGGTAATTTTCTTTTTGTAATTTGACTTTCCTTATTAATATTTCTTCTGTTCTGCTACCGGACAATCAATCATTCAATTATGATTAGAGATTATTTCCAATTCTTTACGCCAAAATTATCCGAATAATGATAATGATAATAAATTATTATTAAATTTACAAATATCAGCAATTTTACGTGCCTTTTTCACATTAATATGGATTACTTTGAATTTAATCGTTATAAGTTTGATTACTTGTTGGAAACGTTTTGCAAATAATCATCTTTATATTGGTGCATTAATTAGTTGGATAATATTTACTATTGAAGGTCTGTCATAACTAAAACAAACTAACATTCAAATCAAAACAAACTCTTGTTTTTGTCTAGGTCAAATGGGTTTTGATCCTCAATTGAGCTACATTTCAAGATCAACAATTAATGTGCCTCATCAATCAACAACACCCACAACAAATATTATTGATTCCTATGATGGTGCTGCTATTTGGCATACATTTTTAACAATATTAATTATTTATTCAATGTTACCATTGCCATTGCTATGGTCAGCATTCTGTGCAATTATAACATCAGCTATTGATTTAACATTTCGTATTGTTCATCTATCACAACAACAAACAAATTATCAACAACAACAGCAATTAATATTTGCAAATTTATGTCTATATTCCTGTATCAATCTAATATCATTATATACCAAATATCTGACTGATTGTGCACAACGTAATGCATTTCTCGAAACACGTCGTTCTATTGAGACACGTTATAAAATTGAGTTTGAAAATTCTAAGCAAGAAAAATTATTACTTTCAGTATTGCCAAGATTTGTTGCAATGGAAATCATAACCGATTTAGCATCACAAGAACAATGTGGTCAGCAAACACGTGGTAATAATCTATTGCCAACACAATTCCATAAAATCTATATACATTGTTATAAAGATGTTAGGTATGTAAGTTTTTTTAATTAACAAACAAACAAACCAAAACAATCAAATTTCAAGTGACCTTGACATCCAAAAAAATTGCTAGGGCACCAATTTATCACTAACGAATCATATTTGAATTCTGTCTATGACACAATTGCCTAAAGGATCTTTTTCTATAGAATTTATTTTCAGGAAAATCGTGAATAGAATTTTGCAACCTTCATTTTTTAATATCCAATAGAAAAAAATGGCTATATGATCGTTAAATGGAATCTAAAAAAAGAAAAAAATTGAATTTTGAAAAAAGGGAAAGGTCATTGGAATTAATAGTGTCTGTCGTCATTTGTTTCATTTTTATTTTGAATTTTTCTTCCATAAGAAATTTTTCAGATAAGAAATATGTTTGGATTTTCCTTGTAAAAAGAAAAGATTTCTTTTTCCACCCTTTACACTCCATTTCATTTGAATTTGGAATAATTTTTTTATGGAGAAAATTTAATTTAATTGAATCGATTCCTTCAACGAAAAAAATGATACAGACACACACCATATGTGTGTTTGGTTTGTGTTTGATAGGGAAAAAATATTGCAATTTTTGTTTTTGTTTTTATTTTTCATTTTTTTAAGGTTTGCTTCAGGCAAATTGAAAACGAAGAAAAAGCAAGGAGAGAAAAAAGGAATCCAAATTTCCCCTTATCTTGATAGGAATTCATTTTTTCATTTTTGTTGCAATTGATAAGTGTGATTTATTCAATGAGTGTAGTAGAAATCCCAATTCGATCATCGATCAGATTCATTGAATTGATCGCAAATTCTGCTAAATATTTGCGAGAGTGAAAGAAATCAATGTTCAATGTTCGATTGAATATTTTGAGTGATAAATTGTCAAGTTTGTTTTTCGTCTCTGAATCAAAAATAAAAGTATCTATTCATTTTTTCCACATCATTTATTATCAATGAGATTCTTTATTTTCTCATGAAAAACATTAATTTCATTTTTGTTTTGTTCTGTTTTTGAAAAATTTTCTTTTGTATCAACAAACAACAATGGAACCAAAAAAAATATCCACAGTATATTGTTTGCCGATATTCAAGGATTTACAGCATTAGCATCAAGATGTTCAGCACAAGAATTGGTTGGTGTACTCAATGATCTTTATGCACGTTTTGATCGTAAAGCTGAGGTATGTATCATTTATCAATATCAATCCTTTTGTCTGGCGTTTTTTGAAACGTAAAAATGAATTTTTTTATTCTTTTCAAACTTGGATGATACACACCTGTGAAATAGATCTTGTTTTTCGTTTCAATGAACAATTAAAATCTTTTACCAATAAAAATTCATCATTCATATTCAATTATCTCTATTTATGTGTCAAATTATCCGTTTTTTTATTTGTCTTTTTGTTTGTTTGAATTTTCTCTGTTTGAACAATTTAGAGATAACAAAAACCTATAAGGCATAATCGATCAATATCGTTTCGTTTTTTTTTTGGAAAATGTATTTTCAATGAAAAGAATGAAAACAACGAAAAAAATCAATGTTCTTTTGGGAAATTTTCTTCTTTTTCAAGAGATGATGGTTATTGTTTGTTGGATTATCAAGCCTGGTGCGAAAAAAATGAATTGAATTTTTTTTATTGTTTTTTTGCCTATTATTGATTCGAATGAAAGTTTGTTCAACATGCATTATGAATTTTGTCGATGTTTACATACAAAAAAAATAAAATATAGGAAATTTTTCCGAAAAAGTTTGTTTTTCTCCCAATTTTTTTTGTCGCCAAAATTTTTCGAAAAGAAAATTTAAATGTTTTTTGCCAAATGAGAATTCATATGACAAAAAATTTTCTATTCAAACATCTTTATCGTTTTTACTCGGTTGTTTTTTCCCGTAACATCCATTGCAAACAAACCTTTGAATTCTATTATGGTATTTTTCCTGTGTGTGTTTGTGTATGGTGTGTGGGAATTGTCGCCCACCAGTATATCATAGAGGAAAAAAAATTCTTTAAGCGAACCGGAATTCATTGTTTGAGATTGCAAATTTGATTTTATGTTTTTACAACATGATATTTCCATATTTTTTTAGTTGAATGCTTGAATGTGTTGACAATTCGGTTCACATTAATATTTGTTTTTTTTTTCATTCAATTGAATCAAGAAAGAATGAGTGAAAAAGGAATATTTTGGTTATGCGAAAAAAAGGATTATTATTACGGAAATATGTTCCGGATTCCGTATTATTTAATACCGAAAACGTTTTATATGAGAAATTTTTATTCTTTTTTTTCACCGGAAAAAATTTGTTTATGGAAATCATGTAGAAAATATAGATTTTATATTCTATTATTCAATAATGATAGAGAATTAAATAAGTGAATTGAATTTCGTTTGTTTTTGAAATTGAATTGTGCTACCGAATCCAAACCATCCAAAACCCAAAACATTCATTCTCATTTCAGTTTGTCAATGATGTTTTTTTTTGTTCAAATGAAATTTTCATTTCATTTCTCTATTTGTTTATTGAATTTTTTTATTCTGAAAATAGGAAAAATTCTTGTTAATGTTCAAATTTGTTTTCATTTTTATTTTGAATCATCCCTCACATACAAAATTTAACAGGAAAATCATTGTCATCGAATTAAATTGTTGGGCGATTGTTATTATTGTGTTTGTGGATTACCAAAAGCACGAACAGATCATGCACATTGTTGTGTTGAAATGGGCTTGCATATGATTGAAGATATTAAGTAAGTCTCTCATGTCTATTATTATCTACAAGCATATTTTTTTCATAAGAATCTATCATGATGATGATTATCATGATATTCATAATTTTATTTAAATAAATATAGAGAACTAGAGAAAGATTGATTTCGGAGGATTCACTTGAGTCTTTTTTTTTGCAAAAATAAATCGATATGCAAAAACAAAAATTCTACAGAATAATTCATTCTATTGAATTTATAAATAAGTTTGGTTTCAAGGGAAAAAAATGCAATGCAAAATTATTCGCAGGAAATAGAATGATAGTTAATTCGTGTTTGCATTTGTGATGTAGGCAAATTTACCTTTGGTATTTTTTCCATGAAAATCGATCGCTAATTAACAATAGTATTTATAGGATAATTATCTTATTTATAACATTACATCAAATGACTGAGTTTTATTTTGGTTGAAAGATTATTAAAAAACAGCATCGTTATTCAGTTTTGATCAGCAAGCAGAAATTTTCATTAGATAGCTAGCTAATTTTTGCTTCTCATTATTATAATTAAAATAGTGGCAACAAAAAGGATTTTAAATTATCTTTTCTTTTTCTTTCATTTTCCCTTTCTTCCTCATTGAAGACGAGTACGACAAAAGACTGGTGTCGATTTAAACATGAGGTTTGTTTTGGTTTTTTGGTGAAGATGATTTCTGATTTCTGCATTTCATTTATATAGAATCGGTATACATTCTGGTTCAGTACTTTGTGGTGTTATTGGTCTACAAAAATGGCAATTTGATGTATGGTCAAATGATGTTACATTGGCTAATCATATGGAATCTGGTGGTCTACCTGGGTATGTTTTTTCTTTCGGAATTCTTTTATTTGTATGGACAAGTCAAAAAAAGCTAATTAGAAAAATAGCTTCAATATGATTTGTTTGTTTGTGTTTTTGTTTCGGAAAAATTCCTGTGTGCTGCATTGACTTTATCCATTTTTTTCATTTAGTTAATTCATTTCAAAAAACATTTTCCGTTCTGGACAATTTTCAGAATTTATTTTTTTGTTCAATTTTCGCTTGAGATACTAGCAGGAAATTTGTCGTTTTTTATGATGATAAAAAAAATTAAAAAAACAAAAAGCTTTGATTTTTATCGATTCCGTCGTGCTTTGTTGTGGATCAACTTTCTTACAAAGATATGATCTATTTGTGTGTGTGTAAAACATATAATTATTTTAGTGCAATTTTTTCAGACTAATAATTTTTCAAAAAGAAAGAAAGAAAAAATACAAATATTATTAGTTAGAGTCCCACAATAAGACGTGCAATGAATTATTTTCGGTTTTTTTTTAAAAAAACATCTTCGTTTCTTTTCCTTTTTTGGATTCATTGCACCATTATCAAAAGATAAATTCTCAGTTCAGAAATATCCAACTGCTCAAAAATTGTTTTGTATTTTTTCGGCTAAAAGAGAGAGTTATTAATGAAAATAAAATGATCAAGACAATAATTATTATCATCATCATTGGATCCACTTGGGCATCATCAAATTTATTTATTTTCAATGCGGGAAAGAAAAATGTATCGTTTTTTCAATTGAAAAAAAGTACAGTCAATTATTTCGAATTGAGAAGAGAGAAAAACAAAGTGTAGTCAGTCAGTCATGATAAGAAAATTTATTTTCTTCAAAAAACAACAACAACAACACTTTTTTATGATCATCATCATCGAAATGAATGGAACCCGAACAAAGCAATAAAGATTGATCGTTATTAATTTGAAGAAAATAACATTGATACAAATATCTTTGTATCTAATTCCAATGAAATTGGCTTTTTTTTATTTTCTTTGGATTCAATTTTTTTCACTAACCAACAAACAAACAAACAAAAAGATAAGAACTTTTACACTTGCCATTCATTTATTTAGTAAGAACCAATTTGGAAAGAGAATTGATGGACAATGTTTGAAGAGAAAAAGTTTGTTTTGTGTCACATAATCTAAATTTATTACCATCATTATAATGTTTTTTTTGGTCATTATAATTTGTTTTTCTGTTAAAAAATAAACAATGTTACCAATAATAATTCAATGATGAGAGAATTTTTCAACTAAATTTCTTTTTCATTGTTTGAATTGTTTAATTTTGAAATTTTCGTTTTTTCATTGAACCCTTTTTACTATAGCCGTGTTCATATATCAGCACGTACAAAAGATTATTTAAATAATCAATATGAATTGGAACCAGGAATGGGTGAACATCGTGATCAATATTTACGTGAACATAATGTTGAAACATTTTTTATTCGTCAAGATAAACCAACTAAATGGAATCCGTTAAAGGTTATTTTGATTTTTTTTACCATCAAATAATGTTGTTGAGACCCGATTTTCTTCTTTTTTTCTTTTCAAACTGAACCATATTTCAGGCTGAAGATTCAAATAAAATTGTTGATTCAATCAATACACATTCGACAACAGCAACAACAACATCATCAAATTGTTTGGAAACTTTATTTGCCAAAATCGATAATTTAAAAACGACAAACGATGATGATGTCGATGCCGATGATGATAAAGATGATGATGATGATGATGATGACAATAAAATTATCGATAAGAATTGTAAACAACAACAAATTGTAGAGAATTCTGTTATTGATTTGGAAAAAATTGTAACAACAACAACAATAACAATTTCACCGAAGGCTATTGATTCTGTTTGTGATGGCGGATTCAATAATAACAACGATTTGAAAAATTTGAAAAGCACTGCCAATCAACCAATCGATTCAACAATAATTGACACTTCACAACAACAACAACAACAATTATCATCATTTAAAAAGAAACATAAATCATTTCGAAATCTTTTAACAAAACGTATCGATCATCATCATCATCATGTAACGACCGCAACAAATTCATCAACATCATCGATTCATTCAAATTCTGATTTATTATTGCCATCATCGAATGTTGTTACTATTACTATTGATGGTGAACATGAATCAAATCATAATAACAATAATAATGTTGGGAAAAACAACAATATGGATGAAACTGGTGATTGGTTACCGGAAATTCCGTTTCAAAATATAGTGGATCTTCGATATTCAATGAATGAAGATGAAAATCCAACAATTATGTCAGCGAATATCGTTATCGATAATAAGCAATCCAATGAATCGATTAATCAATCATTCAATGTCGGAAATTGTTTTGAACAACAACAGTCAATAACAACAACAACAAATTCAACAAGAAGAAAAAGTTCGGTATCATCATCATGTGCGATCGAATTCGATGTGACGCAAACGCAATCAGAAATCAATAACAATAATCATCGTGATTGTAAAGTAAATTTTGCCGCAAACAGCGATGTTGTTGATGAAAATAATGTGAATGAAAATGATTTATTAAAAAATAATAATAACCATACAACAACTATAGCAACAACAACAGCCGCCACAAAATTTCAACAACAATATCAAACAAAACCATTGAAATCATCATCGAAACAAAAATTAATAAAACGAGTACTATCATGGAATGAACAGATTGATGAATATATTGATCAATGTATTGAAATCGAATCAAATAAGAAATTATTTCAACAAAATGTTAATTGGTTTTTATTGAATTTTCGTTCAAACGAATATGAAAATATGGTATGTGTTTTGTTACATCATAAAAAAATGATGATGAAATTCTCCTCTTGATTTTCATCATATATATTACACCGTACAAATAAATAATGTTCGATCCATCGATCGATCAATCGATCGGTCCATCGATCGATATTATTTGCTACTCCATTATCAAAATCTGCCATTCTTCTTGCCCTGAATCTAATTTCATATTTTTCCCATTTTATTCTTTCAATCATTCTTAATATCTATTTTTTCTAGTTTGGCAAAATTCCCTACCTAGTATTTCGTTCAAATTTATTTTGTTTTTCGGTAATATGGCTTTTTATGGTTATCATTTCATTGATAATATTATTACCAATGTAAGTATTTCACTCAACATTATTATATTTTTTCCTTCAAAAACCTTTCATTTCTGGTTATTTGAAATAGGTCCTGGTTCAATTTGATTGTCTATATTATTATCAGTTTAATATTTATTGGAATTTTTATATTAATATTACTGGCATATGAAGATTTTGTTCCACGTTTATTTCGACGTTTTGCTGAACATCTTGAAAATGATCCATCCATACGAAATTTATTCTGTACAACAATGATTTGTCTGTTGTTTTCAATGTCTATCATTTTCATGGTGAGTAGATAACTTTTTTCCCAGGAAGAAAATGTTTGTAAAAAAAATTTTATTTCTGGATAAAAAAACTCATCCAAAATGTACATTTGTCATCGTCATTTTCTTTTTTGTCGAACCAAGTTTAATGAATTATTCATTTTCTCTCATTGATTTGATATATTTATAGATTATTTGTGTACATAAAAATCAAATTATCATACATGATGGAACATTGTCCAATAATAATAACGATAATAGTGATAAAAAATTATTAATAAATCATCATCAACAACAACAACAATTTGATACAAAATCAACCATTAGATTGACTGGTGAAGTATTTGAAATACCGGAATTAAGTGATTCAAATAAAATGTTTATATCATTTCGACAATCTAATAATAATGATAATCGATCAACAATCAAGCAACATGAACAACAACAACATTATAAAATATGTGATAATTCACAGGTTAGTAAACTAATAATGTATGGATCAAATATCCGATTATCCGGTACATTTCGCATTTCTTGAAAGAATTTTGTAAATATTGACACAGACAGGTGAACAATACTGAGAGACAACATTGACAATTTTCATTTTCCTTTTCCTTCGTCACCAAAACATTATGATAATTGATTTTTTTTTATTTCTTGTTTCATTTTTCAATTTAGTATTTTGTATTTGTATGGATGTTGACAATGGTTTCGACGACAACATTCTTGAAACTGCCATATATAATAAAATTGTCGATATTATCATCAATAACATTGATATATATAATATTTATTAAATTTATTTTTATTATCATTTTCAATCGACAACAAACTTGTGCAATTAGTCTATTTACACACGGGTAACATTATTTATTTATCATATTTATAAATTAAATTTTTTTCAAATTTTTTGCCAAATCAATTTAGCGAAAATTGTATGAAATTGGAAACAAAAGTTTTTATCGTTTTAATTTTATGTTTCTTTTTGGTCATTCATCATTGTCGTTTGGTAAGCTGTTTTTTGCTGAGAAGAATTTCAAATTTCTAAAGTTATCCACTTTCACATCAGATTGAACGAACTTCTCGTTTGGATTTCTTATGGAAACAACAAGCAAAACGTCAATTACAAGATATGCGAGAAATACGTCATTATAATGCACAGTTATTGAAAAATATTTTACCCGATCATGTTGCCAATTATTTTCTAACACAAGATCGTCCACAAGAAGTATGTGCCTAACCAAAGTGGTTTTCATTATGTAATATTTGATTTTTGTATATGTTTTCATTAGCAACTTTATGCACAATCCTACGCATGTTGTGGTGTACTATTTGCATCGATACCAAATTTTGATAATTTTTATTCCGAAGATATTAACAATGGTGTTGAATGTATACGATTATTGAATGAAATTATTTTCGATTTTGATCAGGTATGTTTGTTGTTTGTTTTAAAATTTTTTATTGTTTGCTAATTGTTTTTTCTAAAATCAATTATCAGCTACTTGAAGATGAACGATTTCGTTGTATTGAAAAAATTAAAACAATAAGCAGTACTTATATGGCTGCATCCGGGTTGAATCCTCGTGATCAAGGTCGAACTGTTGGTTTTTTATTGGATTCTTTGGTTGATTTTGCCTTGTCAATGATGGATGCCTTACAAGATGTTAATAAACATTCATTCAATTCATTTAAAATGAGAATCGGTATCAGTAGCGGACCATTAGTTGGCGGTGTAATAGGAGCGAAAAAACCTGTATATGATATATGGGGAAATACAGTGAATGAAGCAAGTCGTATGGATTCAACTGGTTCGTTGGATAAAATCCAGGTGCCTAAACATACCGGGCAAATATTAAAAGATGAAGGTTATCACCTTGATTATCGTGGTATTATTCAAGTGAAAGGAAAAGGACAAATGGAAACATTTTGGGTAATGAGAAAAATGACACGTGAATCATCGTTGAATAAATCGCAATATGGTGGCAAAAAATCAATGGCCGAAGTTATTGGCGGTATGGTTGAAGTACGCCGTAAACAAGCACTTGGATCATCGCTTAGTGTACCAACATCATCAACAAATCGTAGTCCACGACGAAATCCAAAATCGCAACCGCAGCAACCAATGTCACAATTTGATGTCAGCAATGATGATGATGATCAACAAAATAATGGTAATGGTAGTGGTGAAACATCTGAGACGATCAAATTGCCTACGACCACGACGACCAAAGATTATTCATTTCGACGTAAGAAACCAGGGAAAATGTCTGCTAGTTTTCGTTTTCGTAAATCACCATCACCAACACCACCAACATCGTCATCATCGACAACACAACCATTACATCGTATGATGTCAGAAATATCACGTGTTGGTCGCAGCCGTTCATTTTATCTTCGTAATCATAATAATAATAATAATAAAAATTCTAATCCAACAAGTCCAAAAGAATCAAAAAATGATGATAATTATGAATTTAGAAATTAGAATCAACAACAAGAAGTTATTGTCGTTATTCAAAACTGTGATATGCACTACGAAAAAAAATTGATCAAATTCCATTACGTCATTATTATTATTGATCATCAATCGATCAAATTTGATTGATTTTAATATTTGTCTGTGTGTGTTATCATTCTGTGATAATCTTTGAAAAATTGATTCATTTTATCAAATAAAATATTTCTGTAACTATGTTGTTTTTTTCTGAATGTAATTTTAATTTTGTCAATGTTATCGATTAAAATCAATAATGTTTAAATTTATGTTGTGCAATGATAACAATTTATATTTATCAAAATTAATTGAATCATGTCAGATTGATTTTTTGTTTCAATGAGATTGCAATCACGGATATAATGATGATAATCCCATTTGTAAGATCTTAAAATTCCTCTCTATCTAATCAAAATTAATTTATTTTTGGTTTCAAGATATATAAATGATAATTGTCCTCAATAAATAAAATTTACATTCATTTTTGATTTTGTTATTTTTGTTAATTTTTACATCAAAACAAAAAAAATATTGATATTCGAAAACAACCATGAAATTATTTGTAATTTTTGTGGCCAATCTTATTATGGTCATTTCAGGTTTGTTAATAAAAAATAATAATGATTTGCTTGAATGCATTTGACCATCATTATTTATCACGTTGTTATAGTTTTGGCTGGACCAACAACAACAGAAGTGCCCACAAAATCATCAACACCAATAGAGCCGACGAATTCGACAACAGTTGGAACGACTGAAATAACAACTGAAGAGCCGACATCAACAACTGAAGAGCCAGAAACACCATCATCATCAACAACAACAGCATCACCAACAACAATCGGAACAACAACAACAAAAAAACCGTATCATTCGAATTTTAAAAATGTTGATTGTAATTTTACTGCTTGTTTAGCACCTGAATGTCAATGCTTACAAGATTTGCCACCAAATGGAATGAATCCTGATGATATTCCACAATTTGTTATTGTAACATTTGATGGTGCTGTAACTGTTACGAATTTTCCATACTATCAAACATTATTTGATTTTAAAAATCCAAACAATTGCCCAATACAATCAACATATTTTGTATCTCATGTTGATAGTAATTATAAATTGGTTCATGAACTATATCGTCGTGGCAATGAAATTGGTGTTCATTCCATTAGGTATGTGACAAACTAAATAATGAAATAGTGAAAATTATCTTGTCTAATCCATTACAGTAAAGCACGAAATAATAATCAAGAATATTGGAAAAAACTCGATTATGAAGGATGGCGACAAGAAATGGGTGGTCAACGAAAAATCTTATCGAAATATTCGGAAATTCCAATTGATCGTATTCGTGGTGTCCGTGCACCAAATCTTCAAACAGCCGGAAATGTTACATTTACTGTAAGTTGATTGATTTGGCGACAAAACCAATATTGATTATAATTTAGGCATTTGTTGATGAAAAATTTGAATATGATTGCTCGAATCCATCACGTCAAGGAATTCGATCACCATTTTTCCCCTATACATTTGATTATGGTTTCCAACGTGAAAATGATTGCCAAGTACAACCATGTTTGAAAGAAGGTGAAAATTATCCAGGATTTTGGGATGTACCAATGAATGATTGGGATGTTGAATATGAAGTTCAAGGAGGTATGTTTAATGTTTGTTTGTTTCAATTAACTGACTAATTTAACCAAATGATTCTATCTTGATATAGTAAAAGTTCATCGTGAATGTGCTATGGCTTCGGGATGTATAATGTTCGAGAAAAATGGTGAAGTTAATTATCATCCAACTGCCGATGAAATATATGATCTATTTGAATATAATTTTGATCGTTTTTATAATGGTAACCGGGCACCATTCCCATTGTTTTTAAGTGAAGAATGGATTCATGATGAAGCTAAACGTGATGCATTATTACGTTTTATTCAAAACAAATTGAACAAACATGATGTTTTCTTTGTTTCAATTGATGAAGTTTTACAATGGATGCAATCACCAACAAATGTAGCTGATTATATTGAAAAAACTAAACAATGTCGTCCAATTGTTCAAACAAAATGTGGACTAAAAGATGGTGAAAAGATTGATGATATATCACAATTCAAACGAAAATGTGATTATGAAAAAATCGATGAATTAAATGGCCAAAGTAAACGTATGGTTATTTGTGATGATTTACATTGTCCTGTACATTATCCATGGGTTAATCGTTTGGAATAAAAATTATCAACTAGAATAGAATAATGATAATGATAATTTTATTTCGAATCGAAAGCACCGCCGGTTCCGTTAATTATTTATTTACATCATATTAAAATCCATTCAACCCTCTCTCTCTCTCTCTTTCTTTCTTTCTTTATGTTTCTGAAACAATTTTTTCTGTACCTTTTTTTTCATTGAAACAAAAAAAAAAAAGAAACCCGTTAATAAAAGAATGTTGAAAAAGATTTTTGTTTGTTTGTTGATTATTTATTGAATTATTATTTTAATTATAAATGGAAAATTTGATGAACGAAATAGAACGGTATGAACATTTGCAGAAACAATTTTTTTTAAGACCTGACTACAACAGCAACAAGTCATCAGTGAAGATATTATGTAATGTTTTTTATTTTTAAAAATACATACATTGTTATCATAATCAAATCATAATCATCAACGATAATTGGTTTCATCCCATGATCATATTGTTGTTGCTGTTTTGTTTTCAAATTCTTATCCATAAAATAAATCTTTAAAATGTTTTTTCTTTCTTCCTTTGGTAAATTATTATGGACCTAATGTTTTTTTGTTGTTGTTGATCGATTGATTAAGATCAAATTAATAATTAATTAATTTTTGTTGTTGGTGTTGTTGATTTGTGTCATCAACACTTTTCCATATTGAATAACGTGTCTAGTCAATATTGTCAAGTTGTTTTCGATTTGTTCATTAATCTCGAGTTTAGATGCGATTACCCATCACGGATACAATAATCATTTGTAAAGATCATCTTCAAAAATTATTATTTTTGTAATTCTAATTGAATTCTACCCTATCTGATTTGTTTTTCTGAGTTTTTTTAATTTATTATATAAATAAATTAAAAAATCGTTATTTGATTATTTTCAGATTGATTGTCTTTATTTTTTTAAAGAATCGATAAACGAAACAAAACGAAAAGAAGAAAAGAACTATGAAATTATTTACAATTTTTTTGGCCAATTTTATTTTGGTCATTTCAGGTTTGTTTTTTATCAAAAATAATTTGATTTGATTGATTGATTTGACCATCAACATTTATTTTTTTGATAGTTTTGGCTGGAACAACAAAAGGGACGACCACAATAACAACAACAACAGTAACAACAATAATAATATCAGGATCATCAGTATCAACAACATCATCAACATCGACAACAACAAAAACAACATCATCATCAGCAGAAGCAAAACCAGAATTAATAACAGCAACAGGAAAACCATATCATTCACAGTTTAAAAATGATGTTTGTAATATTACTGAATGTTTAGCACCGAATTGTCAATGTTTACAAGATGTACCACCAAATGGAATGAATCCAGTTGATATACCACAATTTGTTATGATTACATTTGATGGCCCGGTTACCGTTACAAATTTCCCCTATTATCAAACATTATTTGATTTTAAAAATCCAAACAATTGTTCAATACAATCAACATATTTTGTATCTCATGTTGATAGTAATTATAAACTGATTCATGAACTTTATCGTCGTGGTAATGAAATTGGTGTTCATTCCATTAGGTATGTTACAAGCTGAAAAATGAAATAGTGAAAATTATCTTGTCTTATAATCCATTAATAGTAAAGCAATAAATAATCAAGAATATTGGAAAAAACTTGATTATAAAGGATGGCGACAAGAAATGGGTGGTCAACGAAAAATCCTTTCGAAATATGCGGATATTCCAATTGATCATATCCGTGGTGTTCGTGCACCAAATCTTCAAACAGCCAATAATGTTACATTGAATGTAAGTAGTTTATATTGAAAATTATTGATTACATAAGATTACTGATTGAATTTTCGTTTTCAAAGGCATTTGTTGATGAAAATTTCAAATATGATTGTTCAAATCCATCACGTCAAGGAATTATATCACCATTATTCCCCTATACATTGGATTATGGTTTTCAACGTGAAAGGGATTGTCAGATTCAATCATGTTTGAAAGAAGGTGAAAATTATACAGGATTCTGGGATGTACCAATGAACGATTGGGATGTTGAATATGAAGCTCAAGGAAGTAAGTTTGACTTGAATAATTTTTTCACCTGATTTAACCTAACCTAATCTGATTCTAAATAGTGAAAGTTCATCGTGAATGTCCTATGGCTTCGGCATGTGTATTGCTAAAAAATGATGGTGAAGTTAATTATCATCCAACTTCAGATGAAATATATGATCTATTTGAATATAATTTTGATCGTTTTTATAACGGTAACCGGGCACCATTTCCATTGTTTTTGAATGAAGAATGGATACATGATGAAGTCAAACGTGATGCATTATTACGTTTTATTCAAAACAAATTAAACAAACATGATGTTTTCTTTGTTTCGATTGATGAAGTTTTACAATGGATGCAATCACCAACAAACACAACTGATTATATTGAAAAAACTAAACAATGTCGACCAATTGTCGAAACCAAATGCGGCCTAAAAGATGGTGAAAAAATCGTCGAAAAAACACAATTCAAACAGAAATGCGATTATGAAAAAATCGATGAATTAAATGGCCAAAGTAAAAGTTTGGTTATTTGTGATGATTTACATTGCCCGAACAATTATCCATGGGTTAATCGTTTGGAATAAAGAGGTGATTGGGTTTTCAATCAATCCTCATCTTTATTCATCATCAAAATTTGAATTTGAAATAAATTCTTTTCTATTTTTTTCCAAATAAAAAATAAATTTTCTACCACAGATGTGTTCATATGTGATCATTCATTTTATTCATAACAAAAAAAATCGATGTCATTATCATTATCATGATCGATAAACTTACAATGGTCATTATAGCCAAATGCAGTGTGTAGACAAAGGAATAGGAAACACTTAGGCCATTTTTTAATTTGTCCATTCATTAGCAATTGCTCAAATACGTTCAAATTCAGCGAGAAATATCTCAATTGAAACCGAATCATTGTATTTGAATGGTTTGATTAAAAATTTACCCATTAGAATTTCTATTTGTAATATTAGTAATAATTTCTAGACGTAATTATTTCCATTTCTAAGGTGAGCCAGTTGACGTGTTTTGGCCTGTTTTATCCCAAATCTAATCTTATCTATATCTATTTGTATTATTATGAACCTATAATCAATATTGATTATAGGGTTATTATTAAATTAATATGAACCTAATGTCTTTATTATTTTTTTTTTTGTTGTTGTTGATTGATTGATTGGCTGATTAAGATCAAATTAAAAATTAATTAATTGATTTTCGTTGTTGTTAATTATTTTGCATCAATAACAATAATTTCCACATTTTAAAATCATTTGTTTAGTCAATTTTGTCAATTTGTTTTCGATCAATCGATCCATTTATACCAAGGACAAATGTCGATTGCCCATCACGGATACAATAATCTTATTTGTTAAAAGATGATCATCTTCAAAAAATTAATATTATTATTATTTTGTAATTCTTATCGGATTCTACCCTATCTATGTAGTTTACTAAATCATAGTTATTTTTTAAATTTTTTATTATATAAATAAATTGAATTGAAATCTTTTTTTTGATTATTATTATTATTTTAATTTTTTCGATTGATTAATCGCATCTTTTTTTTCATAAGCATTGATAACAAAGAAGAAGAAAAAACAATGAAATTATTAACAATTTTTGTGATCAATCTTGTTGTGGTCATTTCAGGTTTGTTGTTATTTGTGATTTGATTGAATAATTTCGATCATTATTATAAATTTACCATTTTTTTATAGTTTTGGCCAGATCAACAGAAGGATCATTGTCATCATCTAAAATAACAACACCGATAACAAAATATATGAAAGTACCAACAGGAACCACAAAACTGACTACAATATCATCAAAAACGCCAACAACATCAACAAAAACAATATCAACACAAACAAGATCGAAAACACCAGAATCTTCAACAATAACAACAACAACCGAAACAATATCAATAACCCCAACAACAACAACAAAAACAACAATAACAGAAACGGAAACAACAACACAAAGATCAACAACAAAAACAACAACCGAAACAACAACGAAAACAACACCAACAACATCAACGAAAATAATAACAACAACAACAAAAACAGGAACCCCATCATCACATTCATCAACAACAACATCAACGACAACCAGAATAACACCAACAACAACAACAAAAACGATAAAAACAACAACAATAACCGGAACAACATCATCTTCTTCATCGACAACAACCGAAACAACAACAAAAACAACGCCAACAACAACAACAAAAACGGTAACAACAACAACAAAATCAGGAACAACATCATCACATTCATCAACAACAACATCGACAACAACAGAAATAACACCAACAACAACAACTAAAACAACAACAACAACAACAATAACCGGAACAACATCATCTTCTTCATCAACGTCAACATCGACAAGAACAGAAACAACGCCAACAACAACAACAACAAAAACATCAACAACAACAAAAACGAAAACAACATCATCTTCTTCATCAACAACAACATCATCTACAACAAGAAAAACTCCAACAACAACAACAAAAACAACAGAAACAGAAACAGAAACAAAAACAACAGACTCAACAACAAAAACAGTATCATCGACAACAACAGAAACAACACCAACAACAAAAACAACAAAAACATCGACAACAACAGAAACAAAAACACCAAAATCAAATTCATCAACAACGACATCAACAACAACAAGAAAAACACCAACAACAACAACAAAAGAAACAACAACATCAGCTACCACATCATCAACAACCAAAAAAACATCAACAGCAGAAATAACAACATCAGCTATGACATCATCAACAGGAACAGGAATAGGAATACCAACAATAACAAAAATAACAACAAGCGAACCAATAACAACAACAATAATAACAGGCAGACCAACAATAGGAAAAATATCAACAAGTAAACCAACAACAACAAAAATAACAACAAGCAAATCAACAAATTGATGATATACATTGCCCGAAAAATTATCCATGGATTAATCGTTTGGAATAAAGAGGTGATTGGGTTTTCAATCAATCCTCATTTTTTAAATTTGAAATAAATTCTTTCTTTTTTTTTCCAAAATAAAAAATAAATATTCTATATCTTTTTCCCAATTTCATTATTATTATTTTCTTCAACCAACAACAACAACAACAATAATAAAAAAACTGATAACAAATATATTTACTGTTGACTGGATTTTATATTATGTAATCAATGATTTTATTTATAACCAAAAAAAAAAATCAATGTCCTTATTATCATCATCTCGTCAATGATAATTTCATTTTTTATGTTAGTATGTTACCATTTTATGATCATGTTGTTGTTGTTTTATTTTTTTTCGTAATTAATCTTATCCATAAAATAAATCAGGTAACCAAATGTACTTGTCGATTATTAATCAATTAATATTGTTGTTGTTGTTGTTGATGATGGTGATTTTTGTCAATAACAATTTTCCGAAACCAATTTTAAAAATCCACTTGTCAAAGTCATTTTGTTGTTCAATTGATTCAACGCGATCAATCTCGAGTTACAAAATAAAGATTACCCATCACGGATATGATAATCATTTGTGAAAATCATTTTCAATAGGTTTTTTTGTTGTTGTTTTGTTTTTGTTTCTATTTATAACTTTTTTACAAATCTAATCAATAATAATAGTTATTATTATTTTATTATATAAATGAATCGATTTTTGAATTTATTATCATCATTTTTTCTAACTTTTTTTTAGAAAATCAAAATAAAAACGAAAAAAACGAAATGAAGTTATTTACATTGGCCACTCTGATTGTGATCATTTCAGGTTTGTTGTTTGATTTGAATGAATTTTTGTTAATTATTTATCATGGTTGTTGTTGTTGTTGTTTTGGTATAGTTTTGGCTGGATCAACAGAATGTGCAACATCAACCTATACAGAGATAACAAAATTTACAACAACAGGAACAACAACAACAACAGAAACAACAACACCAACAACATGGACAAAAACATCGACAACAACATCAACAACAAAAGGAGAAACACATAGAACAGGATCAGATACAGTATCATTAGCAATAACAGCAACTGGAAAACCATATCATTCAAATTTTAAAAATTTTGATTGCAATTTTACTGAATGTTTGGCACCTGAATGTCAATGTTTACAAGATGTACCACCAAATGGAATGAATCCTGTCGATATACCACAATTTGTTATGATTACATTTGATGGTCCCGTTACCGTTACAAATTTCCCCTATTATCAAAAATTATTTGATTATAAGAATCCAAACAATTGTTCAATACAATCAACATATTTTGTATCCCATGTTGATAGTAATTATAAACTGATTCACGAACTTTATCGTCGTGGCAATGAAATTGGTGTTCATTCCATTAGGTATGTGACAACAAACTGAATAATGAAAATAACCTTCATCTAATTCCACGTTTATAATGCAGTAAAGGACGAAATAATAATCAAGAATATTGGAAAAAACTTGATTATAAAGGATGGCGACAAGAAATGGGTGGTCAACGAAAAATCCTTTCGAAATATGCGGATATTCCAATTGATCATATCCGTGGTGTTCGTGCACCAAATCTTCAAACAGCCAATAATGTTACATTGAATGTAAGTAGTTTATATTGAAAATTATTGATTACATAAGATTACTGATTGAATTTTCGTTTTCAAAGGCATTTGTTGATGAAAATTTCAAATATGATTGTTCAAATCCATCACGTCAAGGAATTATATCACCATTATTCCCCTATACATTGGATTATGGTTTTCAACGTGAAAGGGATTGTCAGATTCAATCATGTTTGAAAGAAGGTGAAAATTATACAGGATTCTGGGATGTACCAATGAACGATTGGGATGTTGAATATGAAGCTCAAGGAAGTAAGTTTGACTTGAATAATTTTTTCACCTGATTTAACCTAACCTAATCTGATTCTAAATAGTGAAAGTTCATCGTGAATGTCCTATGGCTTCGGCATGTGTATTGCTAAAAAATGATGGTGAAGTTAATTATCATCCAACTTCAGATGAAATATATGATCTATTTGAATATAATTTTGATCGTTTTTATAACGGTAACCGGGCACCATTTCCATTGTTTTTGAATGAAGAATGGATACATGATGAAGTCAAACGTGATGCATTATTACGTTTTATTCAAAACAAATTAAACAAACATGATGTTTTCTTTGTTTCGATTGATGAAGTTTTACAATGGATGCAATCACCAACAAACACAACTGATTATATTCAAAAAACTAAACAATGTCGATCAATTGTCGAAACCAAATGTGGCCTAAAAGATGGTGAAAAAATCGTCGAAAAAACACAATTCAAACGAAAATGTGATTATGAAAAAATCGATGAATTAAATGGCCAAAGTAAACGTATGGTTATTTGTGATGATTTACATTGTCCTTTACATTATCCATGGGTTAATCGTTTGGAATAAAAAGACAAAATGAACGCACGTCAGAATCGAAATGTCAACTAGAATTTCATTTTGAATGGAAAACCGCCGGTTCCATTAATCATTAATATTCAGTCACACACATTCAGATTAAATTGAAATCAAATGAAAATCTATATATGTTTCTTAAATGAAAAAAAAAATTCTTTCTGTACCTTTTGTTTCTTTCAAATATCATTTTATATTCATTTATTTTCTTTAAATAGCTAAACCGACAATAAATATATATTTTTTTTATATACTTTTACTTGATAATATTATGTTATTAAAATTACGAAAGAAAAAAAAATCATTATCATTGTCATCATCATCATCATCATATGATCAATATTAATGATCAATATCATTTGGATATATTTCGTTTTGTCGCAAGAATATTTTCGGTTTAAATTCTTAACGAGAAAAAGATTAAATTATTTTCATTTTTTTTTCCTATTTATAAATCCTAAAAATATGATCCAGAAAAAAATGAAGAATAATGGTGAATGTTGATTACTTTTTTTTTGTGTGTATGCACAAAATGTACTTTTTTTTCTTTTTTACTTCTAAAATGTCTTTGGAGTTTTTTTTTATCAATTTTTTTCGGGTATAAAAATGCTAGTAAATCTAACCTAAGAGAGACCATAATAATAAGTACCATAAGTTGGTTTGAAAAAAAATAACTTTTTTTGTTTAGCAAAATCAAAACCAAGACAAAACAAACGAAACTTACCCATTATATTCTTGGCGAAACTGAAAAAAAATCTTCTTTTCCCTAAAAACACAACCAAAAACTCACAATAAAATGATGGCATATTTAAATATACGTGAAATGAATATCACATCATCATCATCATCATCATTATCGTTTTGTTTGTTGATTCATTTAGTAATGATAGGATTGGCTTTATTGACTGTACATGCCATGCCATCATCGTCGTCTTCATCATCATTACAACAAGAGTTAGAACAACAACAACAACAACAACAGCCATCATCATCATCATTATTATCATCATCTGATTTGAATGAATTACAATTGCAACGATTATTGTTATCAAAACGTGGCGTAAGTTTTTTTAAAAATTTGAAATAAAAAATTTTTAAATCAAATAAAAAACTTTTTAATTTTTTATCCAAAAAAATTGCAGAACAATTTAGGCCGAAAGGTATGTGTGTCAATTTAAAAGTTTTTGCGGAAAGTTTGACTGAAATATATTTTTTGTTTCTTGAAAAATTTCCCATTTTTATCTGATCAATTGATTTTGTTAGCTGGTAAGTCACATAATGTCGAAATTAATAAAATCTGAAATTAATAAATTTTTTTCCGATTGAATAATTCAAAAAAAATCTTAGATGTGTCAGGTAAATTTTGATTGAAATTTTTTTCTTTGTTCAAAGATTAATTAAGTTATTCTAAATCTAATTTAATTAAATAGATTGATCATAGGGTAAGTGATTGATTGATTAATAAAAAACATATTGATCTTTCTATTGTGCATTTCTCGATTGTAAAGAATTGTCGATCGGTAAGTAATTTTCGTTTTTTGTCTTTGTTATTGGCAAAATGGCAAAAACAAATTAATCTATGGTTTTTTTGTTGTTAATTCAAGTTTAATGAAGCTAAACGAATGATGAATTCGGCAACAACAACGACAAATATGGTTGATGAAAGAATTCTACAGAATTTGGCCAATTTATTTGAAAGAGTAATAACAATTGGTTTCTAAAAATATTTGTTAATTACCTCTAATTTTTCATGGAATTTATTCACAGAATCCTGATTGGATTACGTCATCGATGAAATGAAAAGCAAAATTGAATTTCGATTTCTAAATATGGAGCCATTATGAATATGGAAAAGTATTCACCACAATCAACACATTTTTATTTTCCGAATTCAAATCAAATTCATATTTGATGTTTGTTTGTTTGTTATTAAAATTATATTTAGATTAAATTTTTGCATTTAGAGTTAAATATTCGTAAAACACACAACAATTTTTCACGAATCAAAAAATCAAAACAAAATGTGTTAACAAATTATCAAATTAAAAAAAAAATTGAAACTGATACGGACATCTTTTGATGAAAATTTAAATTAAATTTTTGTGTATAACATTTGTTATGAACAGTATGAATAGTGTGTGTGTTTGGTACCAATGTCAACATTTGATTTTAATTTTTGTTTTTGTTTTTGTTTTTTAATTTAAAAACTTTAAAAATAAAATTTCTCTTTTAAATTCGAAAAAGATGAAATGAAATGAAAATTCAATGAATTTAAATTGAATTAATTAAATTTGCAAATAATCATCTAATCGATTAATTATTTGGTGGTCCTTTAAAAATTTCTGATTTCTGGCCTTGATTTCGCGTTTGATAAATTATCGATTTGAATGTATAGTGCACGTGTATTACTACTACTAACAAACTTGTCGTCTAATCATAATCATTTGATTTGATTTTAATTGAATTGAATTAAAATCAAATATCAAATGAAAGTAGAAAAATGAGCGCAACCAAAGTATGTAAACGTTTATTTCCTCTCTATATAAAGTGTTGTTAAATGAAATTAAGAAAAATTTCGTTTTTTGACTAAAAATTTTCTTATTAATTTGATTTATTGTAAATTGTAGCCTAACCAAATGTATTCGGATCAACGACAAACTGGAATTCATTCGCAACAACGTGAACAACACGGCAATTGTTGTCGACAAATTCATATGCCACTTTTGACAGGTTTGATTTGGCAGTTGTTGAATTATTGTTTGAAAATTAATTTCAATGGTTATTTCAAATCTTGAATCAAATATCGCAGATAAATATCAAATAACAATGGCTTATGCCTATTGGAAGAATGGTATGTCGGAAAAATATGCCGTTTTTGATATATTTTTTCGGAAAAATCCATTCGGTGGTGAATTCACTATATTTGCTGGCCTCGAAGAATGTCTAAATTTTCTGAATGGATTTCGTTATACATCTGATGGTAAATATTTTTTTTCGTATGAAATTAATTTGATTTTTTCTCACTCCCGCAAAATAGATATTGATTTTTTTCGGAAGATTCTTTCTGATGATGTTGAAGAAGAATTTCTTGAATATTTATCCAAAATTACTGCCAAAGATGTTGTTGTTTATTCCGCAGCGGAAGGTACAGTTGTATTTCCAAAAGAACCATTAATGCGTATCGAAGGTCCATTGGTTGTTTGTCAGTTATTGGAAACAACATTTTTAACATTGGTTAATTATGCCTGTCTTATCGCAACAAATGCTGCCCGTTATAAAATTGCAATCGATAATCGTAAAATCCAATTATTAGAATTTGGACTTCGTCGTGCTCAAGGACCAGATGGTGGTCTATCTGGTAAATACTATTTTTTGTCGATGTTTAATTTATTAATCATGTTTTCTCCAATATTTGAATGTTTATAGCATCCAAATACAGTTATATTGGTGGTTTTGATGGTACATCAAATCTATTGGCCGGTAGATTATATAACATTCCTGTTATGGGTACACATGCACATTCATTTATTATGTCACATCATTCAACAATGGATGAACCGAAAAATATTGTAAGTGAATTGGATGAATGTAATTGATCAAACTAATATTAAATTTCCCATTACCATTGATAATTAGTATCTAAAATCCAAATTAACTGGTGAAATGATTAATTTTTTGGAAACAACTCAAAATTTTAAAGATGAAGTAGCCAAAATTTTACAAGTATCAGCAACAGAATCAAGTAAAAGTGAATTGGTATGTTAATGATGATTTGGTTTAATGATTCCTTTAATTGATTGATTGATTTTAGATAGCGTTCATATCATATGCTTTAGCATTTCCTGGATCATTTTTGGCATTAGTCGATACATATGATGTTATCCGGTCGGGAATTTTAAATTTTTGTATCGTTGCATTAGCATTAAATAAACTTGGTTATCGTGCATTAGGTATTCGTATCGATAGTGGTGATCTTGCTTATCAATCTGTTGTTGCACATGATTGTTTTCGAAAAATTGCCGAATATTATAAATTAGAATGGTTCGCAAGATTATCAATTATTGTTAGTAATGATATTAATGAAGAAACAATTGTTTCATTAAATGAACAAAAACATCGTATCAATGCATTCGGTATTGGTACGCATTTGGTTACATGTCAAAAACAACCTGCACTTGGTTGTGTTTATAAGGTATTTATGCATCTTTTGTTGATATTTTTTTTTAAATCTCAATATTTTGATTGTCTATTTTCTTTCGAAAAAAGCTCGTTGAAATTGATCAAAATCCATGCATAAAAATCAGTCTTGATTTAGCTAAAGTGACAATACCATCTCGGAAAAATGTTTATCGTATTTTTGGTCGTGAAGGTTATGCATTATTAGATTTATTAACCGGTTCGCATGAACAACAGCCAAAGATATTGGATAAAATACTATGTCGTCATCCATTTGAAGAATCAAAACGTTGTTTTGCCACACCTAGTCGTATTGAATGTTTATTACAGATTTGGTGGCAAGATGGAAAGGTAAAAGATAATCCCCATTCATATGATGTTTTTTTTTATTGATTTTCAATTTCCTTGTTTGTTTTTCTTTTCTTTTTCAAAAAACATTTGTTCAATTTCACATCTATATAGATTGCACAATCATTACCAACATTAATGGAAATACGTGAACGTGTACAGAATAGTTTGGCAATATTGCGACCAGATATAAAACGTTTATTAAATCCAACGCCATATAAAGTTTCTGTAACAGATAATTTATATCATTATATGCATCAATTATGGCTGGAAAATGCACCAGTTGGTGAATTACATTGATCAAATTAATAAATTTAAATTAAATGTTTTTTTGTTATCATCATCATCATCAGCAAAATATCCAAAATTCATTAATATTAAACATTCGTTTTGTTTTTGTTTTGTTTTAAATGTTGTCGTTATCATTTGTTGATTTCAATTATCAATATTAGATGTCACTATTCGTATAAAAACTCATTAAAATCTTGATTATCATCAATATATATTGATGTTTGTTTACTTTGGCAATTTTTGTCTAAAGAAAAATTATTTAAATAAATTTGTTAAATTTTAATGATAAAACATGGTAAGAATCAATAATTTTTTTGAGGATCATTTCGAGAATTTTGCTGTGTTTTTATTCTGTTCTGAGAATAGCGTTTATTTTTATTGAATAATTTGAAATTTTTGGATGGTGGTGGTAAAGGATTTCATCAAATTCGATCATTATCATCATCAAATTCAGTACTGCTGTCCACTAATGATGATGGTAATCGTGGTATTAGACGATTAATACTGAATAATCCAAAAAAACGGTATGTATCATGATCAAATTCTGTGAGTGTAAGGAAAAAAGAATCTTATTGCTTATTCAATCATGTTACGAAAGAAAAATCCTTTACAAATAGAATTGCTTTTTATTATTCAAGAAAAGAAATCCTATTGAATGAATTGCATTTGGATAAATCATTCATTAATCATTCATTGATGATTATTGTAGATAGAAGACTGTTTTCAATCAACAACAAAACAAATGGGAAAAAAATCCCATTGAAATGAGAAACAAAAGAGTTGTTAAAACCGATTATTATCATGGAATTTGAATTAAACATGAGCTTTTTGTCGGTTTGTTTTTCATCCAAAATTAATCATTTTAGATACGAATCTGTTTAATTATTTAGCGAAATTGCTAACAAAAGAATGGTATTATAATTTTTTTTTTTTTTTTTTTTTTTTTTTTTTTTTTTTTTTTAAAGAAAAAAAATTACAAACCCACCCCCCTC